GAATATCTTTTGTGCAATACCACCATTGTAGACATACTTCCTTCTATGCATTTGATTTTTTGTACCCATCTTCTACTATTTTTCTTACTTCTACAATAATGCTCTTTAACTTTTCTAATACCCCCCATGTACTTTTTCAGTCTATTTCTATATCTGAATATTCACTATCTATTCTATTACTAATATTTGGAAGTTGACTCCAGTTTATATCAAATATCGTATTTGTGATTTCTTCTATAAACTTTCACAAAGGTTTGTCTACTATATAGCTCTCCCATTCTAGTACTATCTTTAGATCATCAACCCAGCCTGAGTTTATCATAAAGCTTGATTTACTTTTAAGACCAAGTTTGGCAAACTTGTCTGCTTTTTCATTGCCTTCGATCCCAGTATGTGCTTTAATCTTAGCTAGTTTCTATGTAATGTCTTTCTCTTTTAGGCACTTCAATATTACTCTTATTATACTACTATTGCTTAGCTTAATTTCTTCTCTTATTTTCTTTTTACTCCCTACTTTTTTGATTAGGTTTATTGCATTAGCACTGTCTGTAAAGATTTTGACTGAGCTTGCGCTAGAACTGTTAGCAGTGCTGTTGCAATAGCACTCAACTCTGCATGTGTAGATGATGACCAATCTGATATTGCTTCACTTAATTGTACTGCTTCTGCTATATTTTCTTTATCGTTCTCTATTAGATATGCAATTCACCCTATTTTCATTTTTTTTTTTAGTTATGCCTTCAGGCATGTCTTCACTTGTAAGTGACCCATCTGTATATATGTGCCAATTCTTGTAATGCTTCATCTTTTTGTACTTATCAGCTAAAGTTTTTCTTATGTATTCTTCTTGAACCTATTTATCGATTAATTCCTCTTCTCTTTCTTTGATATATATTATTGGTGGGTCGCTAGCTTCTTGTTGTGCACTATTGATATCTTTATATCTTTTAAAGGAGAGATCTTGCGCATATACTTCACAAAAAGTTTTACCTTTATGCTTTTTAATCAGTCTTTTACTAAGAGCTCGTGCTTTATTTTTAAACTTTTTGACTAGAGTGCAGTTTTTCTTTCTCACTGCTTTGATATTGGTAATAGTCTTTGCATTTTTCGAGCTCCACCTTCTCCTTGTAATTGCTGGGCTTTTCTTCCCAATGTTCAATAGTAAAACACTTATTTGCTTTGTTTTGTGCTATAATCTTTCCATACTGTAGGCCTTTTTTACCATTCTCGAAAACTATTATATTGTGTTTCTGTTTGTCTAATATAATTTGTTGTAATATTGGTCTGATTGCCCAATAGTTTGGATCTATCTAATCATCTACTTTGATTATACGAGATTTTTAATTGGCTATGATCTTGTTTTCTAAGTTAGCAAACTATTTCAGTTTTCTGCCTGCTCCCTTTTTATCTCGAAGATTTCTTATTTTTTCCCAAGTAAGCATATTTGTACCTTCTTTATTTATCAGTTGCTTTGTGATAAATAGTTGTAGTGAAGGTTCTTCCAGATATTTGTCTCTATATTTTTTATCTATCATGCTATAAATTTCTTCTTCATTGCTGACAATTCTAAGGCTTTCTTCTAGCACTCTACTTTTAAGTACAAAACCAATCTTGCTTGCCTCTTTTAATATTTTAACTAAAAGATTATGTGTATCTTTTAAACTTCTTAACCTTTCACCTTCTATTAAGAGAATTGATTTTGTGCTTTTGTTATATAACTATACCTGTCTTAGTCTAAGCTTTGTTGTTTGTCTGAGTGCGCTATTGTCATTTAGTTATATAGTGAAGTTGCTTATATGATATGCAATTATACTCTTTTACATTAGTTGTACTCCAGCAATATTTTGGTGATTGAGGATGCTGTTTGAGATAGTAATTGCCAGATTGCTTTTCATTTTAATTAGCTTTAAGAATAGCCTGTGTAGCTTTTCACATATTTTCTTATTCAGTATCATTATCTGTGTTCTGTATTCTGCATGTGGTATTAAGACTCTATTGTTTATATATATTAGCTGAGCTAATATAGTCTTCTTCTTCTTCATTACTTGAACTAGTAACTTCACTTCTCTTTTAATTACTTTTATAATATTGTGTTGTATATTCTTTTCAGAGACCCATACTCCCAAGAATCATACTACTTGGTTTTCCCTTTTAGCAATTACTTTGTCACTGCTATCACAAACTTTGATCTCAATTTGTTTTTCTTTACAGTTTAGTACTACCAATTCTGACTTTTTCTTGTTTATTTTAATATCATTAATATCATAAAATTCATTTGCTAGTATCAAAATATTGTTAAGATTCTTTTTTGATCTTGCTAACCACGTTGTATTATCTGCATACGCTAGTACTGCTTGCCTCTACTGCAAGTTCTTAGTACTACCTAACCGTATATCCTTAACATACTTTACTTCTAATGTATATTCCAATTTTTTTACTTCTTATACCGTACTAATTAGAGGATCGTAGAATATATGCCAGACCAGAGACTAAATACCTTCTCCCTGATTTATTCTATCTTTTGTCACGAATTTTCTGCTATTACCATGTGCTATAACTACCTCAATTCTTCTATTTCTATATAGGTCAAGAATAAAGTTTCTGATATACTTGGGTAATTTGATCCTCTCTAATGCCAGTTCAAGCATATCTAGGCTTACTGAAACGAATGCTTTTTTTATATCCTGTATTAGAACCTATAACTCTTTTTTCTGTTCTCTAGCATCTTCTGGGATATTGTTCAAAATCTGAATTGGCATATTCGTACAGTCTCCTGGCAACCTAGCAAAGTTAAAGCCTCTGAGAATGTTTTTTTTCTTAATAATTCTCTCTAGTCTAGCATTTACTATATGTACTGTCATTTTTCTTATTGTTTCAAGCAACATAATTGACTATATGTTGTATAGATTGTAGTTCCAGAACTTGCTTTTTGGTATAGGGTATAGAGTGTCTTTTTTCTACTCTGTGGGAATAATACCACTTTTTATACAGAGAGATGCAAAATTACACATTATTCTTTTAGACTTGATTCCTATTTTTTTAAGTAGAGGGTATGTAATACCACTTGCTCCTAGTGCTGAGCTATTTTTGGTTTTTTTCCAAAGCTTTATGCTATTTTAAATCGTCTATATCATTATCAAGTTCTTCATACCAACTTTCTTCTATATTAGCTATTGGATTATAGCTACTTCTCCATCTTGTATTCATGTTTTCTGCTTTAATTTTACACTTTTGATATTGCACTTGTAAGTGTGCTGCTACTTTCTCTTTTACTTCTTCTTCATTGTTGATTAGTTTTTCTACTCTATTCTCAGCTACTACTACTCTATCAAGATAGATGCTATTACTCTGCTTGTCTAGTAAACTTCGAATCATTCATTTTTGGTCTGCAACTATCATCTCTTTTCTTTCTTCTATATGTTTCTTAATTTTGTTTTCTTTGTAGCATTTCCTCTTTTGTGCCCAAACTTTGTTTTTTGTTTTCCAAAGTTCATTTAATCCTATATATAATTCTTTGAACCATACTGTTTCTGTCTCAGGAGATATCATTTCTGATGTTTCGAGTACCTTGCAAATTTTATCTTTATCTTATGATCCAATTTGCTCATTTGTACTTTGTTTGCATTTTCTGTATGGTTTACTAATTACTTTAACTTTTCTTCTAGCTTCTTGGAGCTCAGAGCTAGGTATATACTTTAGTAGAGCTTTTTTACTTTGCTTTTTCAGAAGACATTTTTTTGCTACTTGTGTAATACATTATTAATTATACTCCATCTCTGGTTTAGTTCTTCACGAGACATAACTTTCTTATTTGTTTTCATGCTTTTTAATGCTGGCCATTTCTTTTCTAACTCTCTGTCTAAGAATTGTTCATATTTTAGCCAGTTCTCATTTTTAGTATTTTCTATATTAAAGATTAGAGTTTTTGATTTTGATCTTTTACTCTTTGCCTTATTGTTTATCTAAAGTAAAGTGGGGGTACAGAAAAATTATTGGGCATGCCTCTCTATCCCGGGCATGCCCCTCTGGATAGTATTTTGTCACATGATATGTCTGAACATGTGCCAATTAAAATTTTTCAATCATAAGTTACCTTAACTATCAACGGATCATAATGAAATTGAATCAAATGAAATAAGGGCAGGGATCCGAAAAAATTGTTTTCAATTTTGACATTGGTAATTGTTTTTTATTGTGATATCAAATTTAGTATAATTTTGTTAATTAACTTAATAGCAACTTGATGATAGCGAATTTTTAGTGGTGAAGAGGCTTGCAACAATGAAACAAGCAAACTGCAAAGAAATTTGATCTTGGTAAAACTTGAATCAAGCAAGAGTTTTATCATGCTGAACTTTGAATATCTTTTTTTTCTTTTTTGATACTAAACTAAAACTTTGAAACTTTTACACTAAATATTTAACCACTCCAAGCTTCAACCTAAAACTTAATCTAAACCTCAACTTTAATTAACAAATCTCTTACGCAAAGGTGCCAAAAATTTAACTAAATTTTTTTTTTTTTTTTTTTTTACATTTATACATTTGATTAACTAATCGGATCTAATGAATAAAATTTTATTGCAATTTAATTGGCTAATTGTTATGTGAACCATCAAAAAGAGGTAAAATTGTTTTAATTTCTAATAAAAATTGCGATTAAACCCCACTTATACTTGCTTATTATAAACTTTACCATAAACTAACCTCTAACCCTAACTCTAAAAAAATGCACATCAAAAATTTTTATTTTTCAGTGGCTTGTCTATTTTTTACATCGTACGTACAATATTTCATTATAATCTGATTTTATTTTAATCTATCACATTAACTATTAAAGTTAATGAATAATTATACGTCCCGATTTTTTATATACTGTAGCTTAGAAACAAGTTTTATGCAATCACAAGATTAATATATATATTTTTGTGAATTTATTTTTTATATTAAAATAATATATATTCAAAAAAACTAATAAACTTTTATTTTCAAAATTTCTATTTATAAGGTTTTAAAAAGAATATCATCAACAGACCATTCTTCATCTTCTGATTGATTACCTACCAAGAATAAGAATCCTAAAGCCGTTTCTGAATCTTTAATCCAAGACAATAAAAATATTGATATCTTTTTCGATGAAGAGGAATATGAACAGATTAAAGATTTGAATGAAGAACTTGAAGAAGTGGTAACAGAGCAAGATGAAAATTTTATTATAGAAGAATTTTTCGACATCGCAGCATTTGTAAGAGACCAAGACAATAATTTATCCCAGACTAGTGGAGAAAGAAGTATAGCTTTTTTTAGTTCAGTTTGAAGCTATCCAAGGATGGAAAGATTATCAGGAGTTAATTTATTTTTGGCCTTTGATTTGACTATTTCAAGTAATAAAAAAAGTCATTCACAAGCGGCTCTATGAGGAACGATAGTGAAGACTTTTATTGCAAAACAGTGTAAGAGTGATGCATTTCTAGTAAATTCAGCCCAAAATTTTTGTGGTGATTGTGAAGGTATGAAAGTAAGTGAATCAAAAGGGGCATCACCATTTTTATAACCAATTAATTTATTACACAGAAGCCCTGCCTCTCTTTTTTTAAATTTCCAAATATTAAATAGTTCAAGAGAAGTACGAATAATTTTTTCTCCATCTATCTTCTTTGATATAGCTATTTTTTTGTGTGGTGGAGAAAGAAAAAGTGCAATAAAATAAATATCACTATCAAATTCTCTTGCACATTTGTTGATAACTGAGAGTGTGTGGGCTTTAAAACCATCGAATAGAACCTCAAGTTGGGATATTTGTCGGTGAATATAGATAAGCTTTTTAAAAATATTGGCTAAAGTTGAATTACTTGATTCCAACCTTCCAATAGCTTTAACGACTGGCTTAATTACTTTAGTTAGCATATCATTGTTGGCAAAATGGTACCTGTCACAGATGATACTCTTAACTGCAGTATTTTCAATTTCAGGATATCTAGGATGTTTAGTTTCACTTAATAAGAGACAAATGTCAAAAACCTTCTTCATAGGCTAATACCCTCATACAAACTTTAGCGAGTGAATACCATCTAGTTTTGCAAAATATACATAAAAAATGCTGAATACTATGCTCTTTTTGCCAAGTTTGTAACTCTTGATGCCAGATATGTGATGCATTAAAAAAATTAACAAGTTTTTGATTTTTTTTACAAATTGTAATTGTATCAGAAAAGCTAATAATATTTTTAACAATTAGGTTAAAAACATGCAAGCAGCAACGATAGGGATTATATTAGAATGTTCTTCGTGAAGCAATTGCTTTATTTTGTCTATATTCAAAGAATTATCAGTAACGCAGGCGATTACAGATAACATTTCGATGCCATTTGCAGTTAAGATATCTTTCACTTTACTTTTTATAAAACCTCTAATATGGCGATATGCAGATAGATCAAAAATATCAAGCACAATTTCTTGATGTTTTTTAAGAGCTATAAATCCAAATATCAAATTTCCAGAAATATTTGTCTATTTGTCGAGAGTAATAGTAATGTCAGTTAAAGCTAAAAGTGTATTAAGCTTATCCTGAACATGATTAGAAAATATTTTAGTTAAAAGTTATCCTTTAACCATATCATGAGAAGGAAGATGATAAGAAAGATTTAATTCTTGAAGAAAATTTTGTAAGTATGGGTTTTTAACAAATCAAAAAGAAAGATTTCTGTGAATAATAGCCTTTAGAAATTTTTGATGAAAATATTCTGTTTGTGCTTGAAATAGAGATCAAGTATATCAACTAAGTATATTTTCTTGACAGAGGTTAGGTATAGAGGACCACTATATATTATCATCATCTACTTGAGCAGTTGTCTGCTCAGTAGATATATTATCATCATGGAAATGTTTACGGGATGTAAGAGTTTCTTCACTAATTTTTTGAATATAGGCAGTTTTTTCAATAGCAGGCCAATTATTGCACCAAAGAATGTGTTAATAAAGCCTTTCAGGCCTGCCACTTAGTTCAACCAAACAATGTTTGCATTTTGCAGTATATCTATTTCCACTCTCATCTCTTTTTGTTTCAGAACGATAAAAACCATTCTAGCAATAACCTTGTGTTGGAAGTGGTAATGCAAAACCAACAGGAATATTCATGATTCGAATTTAATAATTATTAAAGAGATGATTTAATTATGATAATAGTAATTTAAGAGTTGTTTATATGCGATGAATTTAATATAATATAGAAATTGATCACTTTTATAATAAAAAAAGTTTTTAAGAAAATGATTTTATTTAGAAAACAAGTTGAATTGCAAGTTTTATTCAAAGTTTAAAAGCACAGTTTAAATACATTTTACAATAATCTAATTCTATATATTACAATTCCATTTTTTTTATAATCATTCTCGATATCTCATGCGCTTATGATCTCTAAATCTTAATTATACATTTATGCTTCGTGTATAATCTTTTTTTTCATGTCCTATTTACAATACCATGCAATTATGATTCTTGCGACTTTGGTCATATAATTCCTTTTTCGCAACCTATTTACAATAACTTACACACCTTTTCTGTGTCTTCTGCATTAATCCAGTTAATTTTGACCACATAATCACTTTTCTTTGCAAACTATTTACAATATTAAAAAGCAACATTTTGCAACGATCTAATTCTATATACTATTATTCCTTTTTTTTATAACCATTCTCAATATCTCATGCACTTACCTTAATCATACATTTATACTTCGTGCATAATCTCTTTTTTCATAATCTATTTACAATACTATGCAATTATAATTCTTGCACCAACTGTTTGGCTTTGGCCGCATAATCTCTTTTTTTCACAATCTATTTACAATAACTCATACACTTTTCTGGCTTATAATTATGCTTTCTGCAATCTGGTTAATTTTGGCCATATAATCCTATTTCTTTACAACCTATTTACAATATCTCATAATTATGTCTTCTGTGTCAATCTGGTTGGCTTTTACTATGTATTTTAACATAATTGTATTGGCCGTTGGCTTAGACTTTACAATCCAAATAAGGAATAAATTTAAATGTATGATTAATTTAGAGAAGGTTTAGTGTTAGCATTATTAGATTGTCCTAAATTTGGAATTATCATATCTAATCTACCTTTTTATAGTGTTTTTCAAATTACTGTGATTATTGTATCACACATTACCGTTACCAGAAATCTGGAAGTCGGGAATTTATAATACAAGCCTTTGATTGGCTAACAATATATCAGTTAATTTTTATACCAGTTCTGATATTATCAAAATTCTGATAGTGGGATCATTTTCCAGCTCTTGTATATTACTAGTCTTAGAAATAGAAATAAGAGAAATCTTGAAAAATTTTATTTGTAAGCAAGAAAGGTAGATTTTTTTTGATTTTGGTGATTTATTAAAAATTTAATCCAATCATTTATGTGATATTGCATAATCTCTGGTAAAATTAAATTTTACGATTGTATTTTGCTTGACTCAGCTAATAATCCACCTATAAATCACTTATAAAACCGTTTAAGAAACTGTATAATAGTTATAGTATAAATTATTGTTGTATTTAATTGGTCAATTGCTTTTCTTAGCTGAAATTGCTTATAAACTAAATTATAAAGTCACATAATATTTATAAATCATTTATGTGTAGCACCTAATTTTAACAATTACAACATTCTACATCAAAAATTTTAACTTATACATTTAGATTTATTCACAAACGAAGCCTTAATCCATATGATGGTACTAATTTTTGATCTTAGCCAATCAAAATAGCAATATACATATATATACTATATAGAGGCATGCCCATGAGCTCTGTGCCTCCCACTCTAATCTGAAGCCCTATATCCATAATAATACTTGCTTGAAGCATCATGTGATCACTTGCTGTTATATTGTCCATATTTACAATAT